GTCCCCTTTGCATGATCCCTCTGTCGCCTGACCTGCATCCCTCCATCCAGAACACTGTGATGAGAACACGCATCTGTGCCTGTCTGTTCACCAGTGTACTGCCGATGTTACAAATACTAGCCCCTACACAGTGTTCGTTGGGTGAATATGTGAGGAAGCTTGTTGATTCTCTGATCTTCTAAGCCAAACTAAAAGCCTCTACCCCTGGTATCTACTCCATTGGCATTAAGCTATAATTACTTCTGTCATTTCAGGGAGGATATGAGTACCTCTGTGCAAACACTGAGCACATGCGTGCGTGTGTGTGTGCGCGCGTGCACACACACACACACACACACACACACACACAATCTATAGTTCCCAGTCCGTGCTGTACCAGGCATTCAACACCCACTTGCTGTTTGAAATTTCAAATCTCTTACTTCAAAATGCCTTGCAACAATCTAGAGAAGATTATTTTATTTTTCCCAGGTTATAAGTTAATGTATGTAGTTAAGCTACACCTCAGCTGAATATAGTTCTCAGTAAGTTTAAAAATGGTATCCTAAGACAAATTGGGTTTTAAGAGAAAAAGTAATAGAAGGGTTAAATTAATCTTTACTATTCCATCCAGTTCTGAAGTTTAAGATTGTGGGTTTATGGTAAAGCTAGCCTCTTTTGTCATATCCTTTTTTCTCCTGAACAGTTGTGCTTTGTCCTCCCTTTACTTGTACACAATCTCCACTTCAAAAGGAGCCCTATCCATGTCATTCCTTCCATCAGCTGAAGACCCATTCATGTGTCTCAGATTTGGTCTGACTTTTATTTCTATAATTTATTTTCATAAAAGCTAATTTTGAAAACAATTACAATGTTTTCTTTTGAACCAATGAAACTTACTTCATTTTTATTGGGTAAGCAAGTCTGCATGATTCCTGAATAAATGGATGCAGCTTCAGAGGACAGATACTTGGGCTAATAAGTGCTAACTTTTGCACTGCACACAGTGCCCACGTAGCTGGTGCTGAATGAATGAATGAATGAATGAATGAATGAATGAATGAATGAATGTTACATATGAAGTCATGAAAGAAACACCCTGACTTTAAGTTCAACAGTTGACCAAAGAAACATTTTCCTCCCACTTCTTAGAAAAGTACATCTTGTCTTATGGTCCAAAGAACAGATTTAATATGATCTTCTCCCAGAAAAGCAGTAGGAAGTAAGAGAACTATCTTTCATGGATTTTTTTTAATGATGAAAATTACCTTCTAAATTACTTCTAGTAAATTAATCTTTCTTCTTCTCCTTCTAAACTTATAATTATGAAGGGAAGTATAACAACATTTCTCTGTAAAGAGATTTAGTAATTCTGGCAGTACTTCATTAATCACTTAATCAGTGTTCAAGCATAACTGATGTTGCTGACATATATAATCCATCTTGATTCCTCCACATTTGACTTGCATCCTTTTTGAATCCAACAACTACACACACTGAGAAGTGGTGGCCTGTTTTGCCATTGTAGTTTTACTAGACATAGATTATATGTTCTTCTCACGATCAATATTAATTCCTACTGTGAGTCTCCTCATAATCTACTTGAAAACAATTGTTTTTCTCTAGTGTATTTATAGCAATAAACAAAGCTAAAATTCTAGGTTGTAATTACTTAATGAGAAAATGAGCTAAGGTAATCTTAATATATTTGAAGGTAGCATATTTATTCGTTTTTGTTGTTGTTTTTTTGTTTTGTTCTGTTTTTGTTTTTTCTTTTTTGAGACAAGATCTTGCTATACAGTTCAGACTGCCCTTGAGCTCACTTTGTAACCCAGGCTAGTCTTGAACTCACTTGGGTCCTCCTGCTTCAGCCTCCCAAGCGTTGGGATTACAGGTGTGCACTACCATGCCTGGCCCTTAGCTTGTTTATTCTTATAGGTAAGCCACATGTACTTGTTTGTGATAAGCTCTGAAGAACATTTGCATAGTTGTAACATAAAGGCAGCTGGCACAGAGATATAATGGCATCCCAAGGTTGAGCAGCAGTGTAAATTAGGTTTGTCTCGTATTTTTTACTTTGGAAAGATATTTTTGTGGTATGACAACAGAAGTTCTTATTCAGCCACTCTTTTCTCTTCATATGCAGTAATTTGGAATTTTAAAACCAATTTTTACCTCAAATTTTATTTGTGCATAATTTCTAAATCGACTTCGTCATCATCCACCCATCCCTCTACTCACACACTTTGTAGATCAGGGCTGGCCAAATAGCTCAGCGGATTAAAGCGCCTGTAAGCAGGCACAGGGACTGGGGATTCAATCCCCTGGCCTGCCATGCTGGCCCCACTCCCAGGGCACACTGAGACAGCAATTGAGACTGAGCATGGTCACGTGCACCTGTAATCCCAGCACTTGGGAGGCTATAAACAGGTGGGTCACTATGAGTCCAATCTAGTAGTGAGACCCTAAACACCCTGTAGACCCTTCCCTAAAAATACAGAGGAAAAAAAAGAGATTTTTATAGGTCAGAAATGTGAAGAACAACAAAGGAAGACACTTACTTCCCAACTGTACATGCACTTGAACAATGGGACAAAGACTTTGTTATCTTTGTTGCTTGGAGAATACTTTTCCTCCAGATGATAGCGTGAAGTCCCAGGATTGTTTAAAACAAAAAAGTCTCTTCCTACTATGTACTGCAGAAATTTAAAACTAAACTTCTTTGCTAATGTTAGAAGAATTTTTTAGAGGATGCTTAGATTAGGACTTTATGGTCCTCAACCAGATCCACTACTGAATCTATGGACCAAAAATCAAGAAATCCGAGGGACAACAACAACAATAATTCCTGTTTACTGACATTTTTCCACTTTCTTTGGTATAGTGTGGGGAGCTTAACATGAGCTATTGAATGGAATATCCTTAATATCCCTCCCTAAGAGGCCAGTATCATGAACTTTCCTAGTGCAAAGAAGAAAGCAAAGGCTTGCCGAGATCGAGCATCTACCCAGAGTTACACAGCTCTTCTGTGTTGCGTTTGCTGAAGCCTGGGCTCTTTACCAGTTAGTCTACTTGTCTATTATAGGCATATAAACTCAGTCTGGGGCTGGAGATATATATAGCTCAGCGGCACAGCACTTGCCTGGTGTGTATAAGGTCTTGAGTTCAATTCCTGGTACCCACCCAAAAAAAATAAGTTGAAGCCTAGTCAGTTGGTTACATATATGGAAATATTTGAATGTATATATTATGTAGAAACTGAGTTACAGAACTATTATAGTAAGTTAATTATCCTTTAATGAAAATTTAATAGAACTCTGGGCTAGCTGGAAAGTGATTAGTAGGTTACAAGAGAAATTAAGGTTAACGTTCTACCAAGGCAGGGAAAGGTAGAAAGAAGGGTTGGAGAGAAGGTTAATTATCAGAGTCCGTATCTCATTGGTGAGAGGTGAATTTGATTTTGAGTGACTATTACTAATAACCATAGAAACATGGCCTTCATTAGAAAAACAAATTTTCTGATCTAAATGAAATCTCCCTGAAGCCATTCATTCTCTGGCTCCCCCACTGCCACTCCCTTCTCTTTTGCTCTGATGTATGGTGATCAAAGCGATTTTCTGACAATTAATTTTAACTCCTCAAACATGTGGCTAGAAAAAAAGGTTATTGATTATTAAATGAAGAATGGTTTACATTAACATATAGACAATTTTTTAAACTTTGTCCTAAATGATTTTGGTTATGTACATCAGCTCTCATGGTCCCAATTAATTTTGGAGAAACCATAAGAGCTTTGCCAAGGTGAACCACTGTTCCTCAGACTCACACATGAAGAGGCTTGTTCTGCACTATTCCAAATCTCTTGAAGGCACTGACTCATTCCTGCTCTGCCCCAGATGTTTTAGGGGAATCCCCAGTGTCCCTTCAGAGATGTAGGTAAGAGATAAGAAGCAAAACACAACTTGGGAGCCTCGCCAAGGGGAGAACAAAAAGCTCCTGGTCTGACCAGACCCTTGGAGCTAGGGTAACCGAGAGCGCTGGGGGGCAGCTGCTGTGTTCCATCGGTACCAAGCACTTGCTGAACTCCAGCACTCGGTACACTTGGTGCTTCAAGCAAAGAATCAAGGTGTGAGGGCCACTTCCAAAACAGCTGTGGAAGGCAAGCTCATAATGATTGTGCAATAATTGGTGACTCTCAGGCCAGCTACTCAAGGCAAAGTCTGAAAGTGGGCAAATAGCTGTCATGTATTCCCTGGCTGGGTCTCACCAGCATTTCTACAGGTAACTCACCCCAATCTCTTCTTCCAGCTCTAGGGGATGGGCTCAGAAGTCTGTCATAAAATACCTCCTTCCTTCACATGCCTGAGTAAACTCTGGTTTCTATTGCTGTCCTGGGGCTCCAGTGACTCTCGTATCTACATACGGTGTTAGCAAGTATCCAGGGCATTCACCTGCTCCTGCCTGACCCACCCAACAAGACTGTGCTGAGAAACTTTATCCCAAAGCAAAATGTTGCTACCTTTCTACTCTTAACGGATCCAGCACAGAAAAAAATCTGAGGAGAAGCGTTATCTTCTCACCTGCACTGACTCTCATAGTAGGACGTGGTAGAGATTTTTATGTCAGTGGCTCTCAGTTTTGCTACCAGGTTCCTAACATTCAGGTATTTGTCTGAAGAAAACCAAAGTACCACTTCAACCCCCATCCTCAATGCTCCACCCCTCTTGTGCTGAGTGTTACTGCTCTCTAGCCAGTTGCGGGGAGTGCCTTCTCTCAGTAGTACCAGTGAGTGACTGGCAACCCTATTCCTATATGGCCAAAGGGGTCTTAGATGAGAGGTGTCTCATTAGCTTCAGAAAGTCCTCTTATGCCTCCCAGGAACTCCTGTTTTATGTAAAGAAAGCTCTTCAGGTGGGCCCTATCTATCAGCTCCAGCTCTTGGATGTACATTCTGGGATCCTCATGAACTACCTAATTATATATGAAAATTGCATGACAGATCTTATATTTTTCTGTTACAGATAAAGGAATATTCATCATTCAAAGTGAGAGCCTCAAGAAATGCATTCAAGTGAGTGAATCTGTACTGAGCCTGGAAGACTGTAAAGAGCCAAACAGGAACATGCTGTGGAAATGGGTTTCAAATTACCATCTCTTTAACCTGGGAGCCAGCGGTTGCCTGGGTCTGAATTTATCTAATCCAGAGCAGCCATTAGGCACGTATGAATGTGACTCCACAGAGGTTGCACTGAGGTGGTATTGCAACTGGAAGACGATTGTGGGTCCGCTACAGTACATGATCCAGCTGGAACGTAACACTACGCTGATCGCCTCGCGGAAGCATAGTCACAAGTGGGTTACTTATATGTCAGATGGTGGAGACATTTGTGAACACCTTTACAAAGGTAAAAGTAATTTAAATCAAGGTATTTGTGGAAAGGCAGACAGAATTTAGAAAGAATACAGGATTTGTAAAGCATTATGTGGAAGAAGTCCAGAGTCTGCAATGCCAAGAGATCTATTACAGTAAATACATTTTAGTGGGTTCCTTGCTTATAGTAAAAGAATTACTGATGTCTTAAGAGTGGACATGCTAAATTCTGGGGAGGCAGAACTCATCAGAATTTAAACATATTGAAAGAAAACACACACACACACACACACACACACACACACACAAAAATATATCCAGGGCCGGAGAGATGGCTCAGTGGAATAAGCGCTTCCCTGGCAAGCGCTAGGGTCTGAGGTCAATCCCTGGTTCCACAAAAAA